TGTTTGTCATCCCCGCTTTGGAACAGAGAAGGCTGAAGAAAGTGATTTAATTGGGATGTATAAGATTGTGAACAGTCAAGAGTGTATAGGTAGGAAATGCCAATTTCACTTGAACAGAGGACAACTTGTGGACATAAATCCAATCTAATTGATTAAAATCTAAAAGAAAATTCAGAGAGGTGGGAAGGGGTCTCTGAAGTTCGCCCACTGAAAGTGAAAAGGCAGAAACCTTCATTGCATTTAAATAAAAACACTTGGATATGCACTTGAGGTGCCCTATGCTAAAGGACTATGGACCAAGAGCAGGAAAGTGGGATTAGATGGAATAGATCTTTCAGCAGTATCAACATGATGGATCAAAAGGCTTGCATCTGTGTCTTCTCTGACTGCGTTTGCACCAATTAAACGATGGCTTGACTAAAGTTTTCATAATTATTTTTAAATCTGGCAACGACCTCCACAATTCCTTATTGCTGTTCATTCAGCTCCACAACCCTCTGATGACCACATTCACGCAGCAACCTCTTCAGCATGTGATTTACTGCAACTACTAGCTGGTTAGTTTAAATTTGGTAGTGGGGAAACTTCTAGAAACAATAATTCAGAACAAAATTAGTAAATCGCATAGACAAATGTGACTTAAAGAAGCTAGCGTGGATTTCAAAGGAAAGTCAGGTTGCTGAAAACTTGCTAGAAGTTTTCCAGTAGTTAGTGGAGTTGCTGAGGACAGTACAGTTGATATACTGTACATGGACTCTGAAAAGGCATTAATACAGTGCTGCCCAGACTTCCAAACAAGGTGAGAGCTTGTGGAATACAAGGAATAGGGTGCTGGGAGCAACTTGGATACAGAACTGGCCAATAATAGCAAATACTATTGATTTAATAAATGTTTTGGGGCTGAAGGAAGACGGTTCCCATTGACCCTAGAGGCACAATTCAAAGTTGGTAGATGAGACAAAACTGGGAGCACAAGGAGAAAAGTGTAGAACTTCAAAGAAAGTGGACAGGCTGGTGGAATGGACAGACAAGCAGCAGCCAAAGTTCAATGAGGAAAAACATGAGGTGATACATTTTGTTAGGAAGAACAAGCTCAGACAAAATTAAAAGAATAATTCTAAAACAGGGTACAGGAGAAGAGGGGCTGGAACATGTATGTGCTTAAGTCATTTTTGGTGGTAGGACAGATTGGGGGAGCAGTTAATATGTACAGTATTCTGGTCTTTATTAAAAAGTACAGTGTACAGAATGAGGAGGTGATGTTGAACTTGTGTAAGACACTTATTAGACCTCAGCTAGAATATGGTGTACAGTTCTAGGCTCTACATTATAGGAAGGGTATGAACAAATTGGAGAGAATTCACTAGAATGACTATGGAGTACTTGTATATGAACACTAGTTCACACTCAGTTGGCAACTGTATCCAGTTTCAGGGATCGTAGTTTAGGAAAGATTTGCAGGAATGATTCCAAGGGTGAGGGACTTCAGTTATGTGGACAGATTGACCAAATTAGGACAGTTTTCCTCGGAGACAAGAAGCCCAAGAGATTATTTGATAGAGATAGATTTGGTCAACAAACAAATGGGACTCATTGAGGACCAAGTGGCCATCTGCGACTGGAGTTGAAGTATGTAAGGCAAGATTTAAATACTTTGAGTAAATTATATTTGTGTTCACTATGGAGAAGGATGAGGTAGGTATAGAAGTTACGTAGGGGGAACTGTGATTTACGTGAACAAAATAGGATCAAGAGGGAGGTGATATTAGCAGTTTTAGCAGGCTTAAAATTGGATCAATTCCCAGGCTCAGATGAGATGTATCCCAGGCTGTTGGGGGAGGCAAGGGAGGAGATTGCAGGGGCCCTGACATTAACTTTCAAATCCTCTCATCACAGGAGAGATGCCAGAAGAGTTGAAGCTTGTGTGGTACTATTATTCAAGAAGATAGGTAGGGATAAACCATAGAATTATCAACCAGACACTCAGCAGAAGGGATACTTTTTGAAAAATTCTGAGCAACAAAATTAATTTCTGCCTGAAGAGACAAGGATTCATCAAGGATAACCAGCATGGCATTGTCAGGGAGAAATCACATCTGATAAGTTTGATTGAACTTTTTGAGATGTGCAGAGGACAGTAGTAAGTTGATATAGCCTACATTGACTTCAGTAAGATGTTTGACAAGGTGTCACTTGGCAGACTGGTCAAGGCAGCAAGAGCCAGGGCAATTTGACAAATTGAACCCAAAACTGGTAGTGTGGCAGCAAGGAGGTGGTGGCCAAGATTATTTACATAACTGAAAGTTTATGCCCAGTGGCATATCACAGAGTTTGGTGCTGGTCTAGACATAATCTGGGCTCATGAACATAGAAAACGTGTTCACCAAGTTCACAGATGATAGAAATTAGTAGTGCAGTAAATAGCACGGAGAAAAGCTTTCAACTGGAATGATACAGATGGGGTGGTGAGGCAAGCAGAACAGTGGTAAGTGGAATTTAATCCTGAAAAGTTTGACATGACGACATTTTGGGAGGTCTAACAAAGCAAGGGAGGACACATTGAATGGTAACGCACAAGTGCAGAGGATCAGAGGGACATTAATATGCATGTCAATAGATCCTTGAAAGCAATAAGACAGGTCGATAAAGGTGGTTAAAGCAGCATTTGGGATATTTGCTTTTATTAGTCAAGACATGGAATACGGCAAGAAGGTTATGATTGAGGCATACAACATGTTGGTTGGACCACAGATGGAGCACTGTTGCAATTCTGTTCACTACACAACAGGATTGCACTAGAGAGAATGAATAGAAGATCCACCAACATGTTGCCTGGGCTGGAGTGATTCAACTATGAAGAAAGAGTACCTAGGTCGGAATTGTTTTCATTAGAGCAAACAAGGCTGATTGGGAAACTTGATTCAGATATACAGAATTATAAGGACAAAAATAGAATAGATAGAAAGATACTTTTCCCCTTAGTCGAATGGCAAATGAACAGGGGACAAAAGAGAATCGGGGTGACCTAATTGAGGTGCATAAAATCATGAGGGGCATAGATTAGATGAATGCATATCGTCTTTTTCCCAGTGATGGGGAATTGAAAACTAGAGGGCATAGGTTTAAGGCGAGAGGGGAAAGATTTAAGAAGGACCGGACGGGCAACTTCTTCACACAGAGAGTGATGTGTATATGGAATGGGCTGCCAGAGAAAGTGTTTGAGGCAGGTACAATAGCAACATTTAAAAAACATTTGGATAGGTATACGGATGGGAAGGGTTTAGAGGGATATGGACCAAAAGCAGACAATTGGAACTAGCTGAGTGGGCCGAAGGGCCTGTTTCCATGTTGTATTACACTGACTCTAAAAGCAAGGCAAGGGCAGGAGGTTGAGAGTAACTAGAAGGAAACATTTTTCAGAGTGGTAGGTATCTGGAACTCAGCGCTTAAAAGACTGGGAGACACAGGAACCATCACAACATGGAAGTATTTAGATGAATGTCTAAATGCTGGCCAAATGCTGGAAAAGGGAGTTAAAGATAGATGCAAGATGAGCAGTGTGGACACAATAAACCAAAGGGCCACTTTCCCATGCTATAACATTTCTAGGACTCTAGGGTACTCAAAATCATGGAAGAGATTAGATAAGCAGAAACTTCCCCACTCATGAACGGATTGAGAACATGAGGGCACAGATTTAAAGTAATGGCAAAAGAAGCAAAAAACAAAGAAAAATCTTTGTGGTCTGAATGCACAGTGTGGTGGAGGTAGCTTCAATCAAAACATGAAAAGGGGAATTCGATTGTTCCTTTCCTGCAAGAAGTCAGGAGCACAGAACTGAGTAAACTGTTCAAGCGCCAGTGCCAACAAGATGGACCAACTGGGTGCCTCGTCCTGTGCTATAACAAATAAGATTTAAAAGCAGCCATGCCTTCTGCTGCCTGCACTTAATGCCAGAATTTCCTGCTGAAACCTCTATGCCCCTTTCTTCCTTTAAGAGGCTGCTTAAAACCAGCATCCTTGAATAAGCTGTTCGTCATCTCCTTACGTATTCTATTATACCGAGGAAGCACTTTATGCGTTTTATTACAGAGATACTGCAAAAAGACAAGCTGTTATTGAACCAAGAGGTCTTGGTTTCTTAACCAAGAATTCCTAACATCAGTCTACACTTATGCGTACTCTTACCCCACCCAGACTTCGTACCTTTTACTGCACTCAGATCATCCTTCACCTTTTCCCACTTCACCCAGCATAATGCTATGACGAAACAAATTTTCCTTCCCTTCCCTTTAAAAAATTCCACATACGGTGAACCAGTGTGCCACAGAGGGAACAATGATGCTGACAGCTCTGCCCTCAGGATTCAACAATTTTAGATCTGTTTCCTCCTGTTTACTTTCCTGTGGGAGCTGATGATTCTGTTACCTCTATTCATATCTCATATTCATTCTCTTAAAGATGCAGTCTGACCTGCCAAGTAACTCTCACATGGAGAGCATTTGGCATTTATTGCTTGAACCATAGTCAGTCAGTGTCTATGTAGCCAAACTGCACCATCTTTGATTACACTGTCCAATTTACTCCCTTCGGTAAAGGGAATCAGTTTTTGCAGTATGTCAAGGAATCATTGAGGTTCATTCTTAACGTCTTCTCCCTTCCTTTGGCTGGATACAAACAATTGGCTTTAATGCCCTTGGTCAGTTATCCTTGAATCTGCCTGTAGCTCTTCTGACAAATTATTATCGAAATATAAATTGAACAGTGCAACAATCTGGTGACAATTGTGACAAACAGAGGGGAAAAAAGAAAGATATCATGTTTGACTTGGATGTAAGTTTTGTTATGCATTCTGGTTCCCCCAAGAATGCTCTACCTCATTGTCATTGTGATAGTTGCTTATGAATTTTGAAGAAAACTTGGAAAGTTTAGTGTTAAACAACAGGTGAAGAACTTACAAAGGATCAAGAGGTTAAAATTTAAAATATCAGAAAACTTACCTGTATTAACAGGCCAAAGACCCAGGTTAAATCTTCCAGGAATAACTTGGATACAGAGGATGTTGATCCTTGTAGCTTCCAAGAATGTAATTGACAGGTGGTCTGTTGAAATTCAGATAAGCCCGAGTGTTACAAATTTCTTCTGTACCTTGGCTTAGATGAAGAAAATTACAAGCAGTAAAACTGTGACCTAATGTCAGCAATGCAGCATATAGACAGGAAAAAGATAAATCAGAATTTCTCCAGATTGACAGTCTTGGAGACTCCAAAGCATCCAATCAAGTTAGAGGAATAATTAATATTCTTCACAGTTGAACCACTATGGTACTGGCCAATGAGCATGATCGGACATCATAGCTAAAACATGCCAAAGCCCACACTAAAACACACACTTTCCAGAGGAGGTCATGAGGCAACTACCTGCAGCATGAAATAACCAGATTTTCCAGACCCACGGTCCAACAGCGCTTCTGGCCAATACATTCATGGAAAGAAACAGGTAACTTCAGAATAGTGTTAACACAGGGTGGGTGGAAATAGATAGTCATGCAGTATGTTCATGGCAGTTGCCCAAAAGAGCTAGTCTCACCAGGCCACTTTTCACAATTTCTCTTCAGAAAAAAATAAAGTCTCTTCCAAAAGCTATAACTGAGACTGCCTTCATCACATTCTCAGGCACCACATTCCAGATGCTAACCACTTGCGCTTCATGTCACTGTTGCTTCCTTTACAAATCCCCTTAAATCAGTGATTCTTCCAACATCAGGAACAGTTTCACCCTATCCATTCAATTTAGGTTCATGTGATACAGTATGGAAAGTATTTGTTGAAGTCAAATCAGCTTTACAAAGGTTCACCATAATTCCCTTGCTTTCATACGCTTTTACAGCATGGAAGAAACAATTTAGTCAATTATGTTTAAGGTGAGAGAGGAAAGATTTAAAAGGGACCCAACAGACAACTTTTTCGTGCAGTATGTATGGAATGAGCTGCCAGAGGAAGTGGAAGCTTGTAAAAATTACAACATTTAAAAGGCTTTCGGATGGGTATATGAATAGGAAAGGTTTAGAGGCATATAGGCCAATTGCTGGCAAATGGGACTAGATTAGTTTAGGATAACTATTCGGCATGGACGAGTTGGACCCAAGGGGAAAGGCGATGGCGTAGTGGTATTATTGCTGGATTGTTAATCCAGAGACCACACAACATTCTGGGGACCAGAAGCCCACCACAGCAGATGGGGGAATTTGAATTCAATAAAATATCTGGAATTAAGAATCCAATGACAACCATGAATCCATTGCCAATTGTCAGGAAATACCCATCTGGTTCACTAATGCCCTTTAGGGAAAGAAACTACCTTCCTTACCTGGTCTGGCCTACATGTGACTCTAGACCCACAGCAATATGCTTGACTCTGAACTGCCCTCTGGGCAATTAGGGATGGGCAATAAATGCTGCCTAGCCAGCAACACCCTCATCCCACGAATGTATAAAGAATAAAGATCATGCTGTACATCTCAATGACTATGTCTTTGATAGCTATGAGTCCTCAAGCCTAGTCCCATTTTTAACTATCAAAAGTAAAGTACTGTGAACATAGAGAATGTTAAATAAAACCAAAGTGCTGGTGAGATTCAGTGGATCTGGCAGTATCTGTGGAGAAATAAATACTTCAAATGTGATAGGACCCTTCTTCAGTACTGGAATGGCGACGATTTTTCCAATTCTTGGTCTATAATTCTGTAGTTAAAAGCACCTCAAATACACAAGTATTTTAAAGACACAATTCATTCAGGTATTAGCTTAATATTGCTCACGACCCCTTTGGATGCGAAAAGTTACTTACTTCACCTCTAAACCAATTATTTCAAATTTTGTCCCCGGTTAATGAGCTCGCTATTCTCTGTAATCTAATCCCCTCAGCCTCCTCTGACCTAAAGGAGATTGGTCAACTCTTACAAAAACAGAAATAAACATCGACACTAACAATTACAGCAGGTGCTAGAACCGTGAAGTTAAAAAAAGAGGTTCACGTGTAGCCTCCAGAAGTTAGTCTGACTACCACCCTTACAACCACTACCACCTCGGGCACGTCCAGGAGGCCCAGACTCAGCCCGGGCCTGAGGCTCGCCACCCCCGACACCCGCGCCGTACCCCTCGTCCCGGGTGATGGCAGGGGATATCTCCCATCCGCCCGGGAGACGGTTTTTATTCCTGGTCCCACCTGCCGCCGGGGCCAACTCGCAAGCTGTGCGGCGGCGATGAAGGGGTTGCTGTAGTAGGCCGAGCAGCGCGGGGCTGACAGAGAGAGAGCAACAATACCCGTTTCCCGTGCCCGCTCCCGCCGCAGTTTGAACGCCGCTCGCTCGCTCTGCCCCCTCCAACCGCCCCCGCCCTGATTCAAACCTGCAGCCAATCCGCGCCGCCATTTGGATTCAAAGCGGCCAATCAAGCCGGCCGAGCCCGCTGAGGTCCTTCGCCCAGCGCTTAGGTGGCCAACGAGAAAGGCGCGAAACGCCGGAGCACAGCGGCAGCGGTGAATGGGCGGGGCCTGGAGGCGGGGCGGGGCCCCAGAATAGGCGGAACCTGAGGATAGGGCGGGATTTGGTGATGGGGCGGGGCACGGCGATGAGGCGGAGTCTGGAGACGGGGCGGAGTCCGATAATTGGGTGGGGCCCGACGGTGGGGCGGGGTCTGACGGTGGGGCGTGGTCTGACAAAGGGCGGGGTCTGACGATGGGGCGGGGCCTGTCACTACCGGGTGCAAGATCAGGCCGGGAACTTTGGAGGCGGTCGGGGACGGGCCGAAGATTGAGCGCAAACTTGGATTGTTTTTCCGGTTGCTGGATCTTTTGTTTCGCTAATGGTTTGAGGTGAGCGGGCGGATTTTAAATGGCAGAGTTTGGCTCTGTTTTTGCCTCCAGATTTGTAAGATATTGGTTTGCACCCTCGTGGTCACACCGGTGTTCAGCATCTCCTGAGGTGGCTCAGGTGTCCCATTTTTTTGGTGTTTGTCTGTCGGTAGACAGTACATCACAAAATGGCCATGGCCGTGCATTTCAACAAGACTTGACAGAATCAAAGAGTAGAGCTGGATGAACACAGCAGGCCAAGCAGCATCATAGGAGCAGGAA